GGCAATAGCGATAAAAAAAAGTTGGCAGAGTTGACTTTCAAACAGTGCTTCTTATCACACTTCTTGATGCGATAAACTTTTACTTTGACCGATAGAAGCCACAAACAGCTATTCAAGTACATTGGGTAAAACTGATTTGTTTACTGTAAAAACTTCAATAGTAACAATTTAAAAAGTTAAAAACTTTAACTCAAGGCTTCTTTTCAATTCTCCCCAGCTCAATGTGTTTTTCCTCTTTTTCCTTTGCCTCCTCTTCCTCCTCCTCCTCTTGGTCATCCTGGGCAATGTTTTTGACTCTGTCGGCAAAGAAAATCATCGCAAAGTCAAAGACACTTCCAAGAAGTATAAAAACAATGGCTGCAGAGTGGAGGTAGTTGCGAAACTTGTCATGGTCGTACAGCCAGCAGTTGCCCGTTTTGCCGCATTTAGTCTCCCAGACCAGACAGGCCGATTCGACGATGAAGCCGAAGAACAGTGGCGAGGGAATAAATGCTAAAGATACAAAAGAGAGAAAGGTTTTACGGTTGTACGGTAATTGTGCCAGTACGAACCTAAAAGATCGAGCATAGTGGAAGCGAGGCCCAGTGAAAAGCTCTTGTCCATCGGGTCGACACTTCTCAGGGCAATGAGCGCATTGGGCGTGCGTGACACCGAGGAAATGACGCCGCCCAGTGTGATGCTGGCCATGTAGGGCGTCAGACCGGTGCAGGTGTTCACATCAGACTGACAGTAGCCCTTGGTGGCCGGGCCGCTGAAGCACGAGCAGCCGTTGAATGTCTGCCCAAGTGATTAATTAGTTAAAGAATCTAAGTTTTTACCGGGTAAACACTACCGAGTTGAGGCTGTTGAACTCTGTACAGCCGCCGTGACAGGGCGAAAAGTACGTCGTCCGGGCGTCTGGTCCGCAGATTGGACTGTACACATTGGTGGAGCACTCACAGCCAGCATTGCAGGTTGTGTCGAGGGAAAACCTGTGAAAGGAAGAGAGAAACAAAGATTATCAAGAAGAATATGGGTACTTCCTGGAAAAGCATTACGCTCCACTTTTCCCCATATCGCCGCCAATGTTNTCTGTACAGCCGCCGTGACAGGGCGAAAAGTACGTCGTCCGGGCGTCTGGTCCGCAGATTGGACTGTACACATTGGTGGAGCACTCACAGCCAGCATTGCAGGTTGTGTCGAGGGAAAACCTGTGAAAGGAAGAGAGAAACAAAGATTATCAAGAAGAATATGGGTACTTCCTGGAAAAGCATTACGCTCCACTTTTCCCCATATCGCCGCCAATGTTCAGCGGATGGCAGCCAAAGATGAATCCAGAACTAATGGCCAAAGGGGTAATTAGTTCAACCAAAAAGACAAGAATGAGCACCGTCCGACCGCTTGGCTTGAATCGAGAGATGAAGAAACCGCCGGCCAGTATTCCAATGGCTAAAAGGAATATGAGTGTTGCACAATTTGAACAACTTTCAAAACTTTACCCATTGGAGCAAAAGCCGTAGTGCCAGTGATGAAAGAGGCTTTTGAGCTAGATATTCTGTACTGTGATTCAATGTACCTATTTAAAACACATAATCAAGTTATAAAATCAATCAGTATTGAACTGAAAACGCCTACTTGGATTTGTACATAAAGAAGCCACCTATTCCAAACCATCTAGTAATCTAATAAAAAATATTACATGACATTTTTTTAAGTTCAGTTTTTTCTAAAAATGACTTACATTACCACAAAGGTACAGCACCACAATTGGATTCGAGACAAATCTCTTAAAGGCGCCCCAGCTTCCACCGTTCTCCTTGATCCTCCTTCTCACATCTGCCGTCTTTACCGAAGCTCCCTTAATCTCAACCGGAAATGCAAACAAAGGCAAAGAGACGAGAAGCAAGAGGATGCCGACAATGATAAAACCGAGCCACCAAGCTCCGATAAACCGAGGGTCGGTTCGGCCGAAGCCGGGATCAACTAGCGGATTCTCGTACCAGCTCAGGCAGTAGGATGACAGGAGAAAACCCGATGCTGGGCCGATTAGACGAGAGCACTGCATGGCGGCAATGTACATTGGTGACTTGGACCTAGTTGAAAAAGAGCTTTAAAAGATTTCTTTTCCTCAGTCAACTGAGTTTACTTGGGCAGTGAATCATCAATGGCGGGAAATGCCACAATCCAGTAGCAGGTGTTGCCGATGCCGCGAACAAACGACCCAAAAAGCAGTATTCCAACTGCCGGCCAGATGGTGATGCCCTGGTCTTTGCTGCAGTCAGTCGGACTTTGGTCGTGGGCGTTGCACATTTCAAAGTTGGTCCAATTTGATTTGGACAGCAGTGAAGTGTCCTCAAGCATACGAGTCGCATGGCCGTAGACAAAGAAGGGCAGTGCTGGTGTTTGGAAGAAACACTCATGGTTGGAATTTGGTGCAAAACAACTTGAAAAGTAGAATTTACCTGTGAGAAAACAGGACAGTGCAATAATGACCTCTCCAATGGCGACCATGCGGGCACGGTTGTACTTGACGCTGAGGTAGCCAACTACTGGATTCAGGGCAATCTCAGCAAAGTTGTCCGCCACCAGAATCACGCCACTGATCCGACTATCAAATCCAAAGCTAACAACGGTGGTTGTTGTAGTAAGTTGAAGAAGAAGGTAAGCAAATAAGCAAATTGTCACCGTTTTTCAAATGTTGACATTGTACTTCCGTATAGAGGCCCAGTCATGGCCTGAATGATGCCCACCAGTGATATGTTGATAAGAAAGAATAGTGGACTTGCGAAAAACTGTAGCCAAGCCGGCCGCCATCCACCAATTCCACAGGTCATATCGACATCTTTTTCACGTTTTTCTCTCATAATTTTAGTGTAAAACTTCAAGAGAACACAACTAAACAAGAAATGTGCCTCCAATAATCAAGTTGTAGCGACCAAGTTGCCTAGTTTGAAGCAAAAACTTTGAAAGCTTTGAAAGCTTCTTATCAGTACCGCGTGAGTGCGACATATTGGCAAGTTTATCAAAACTCAACAAACGTTTAAAGATTAGTCTTGTTATCATGCTAAAAACCCAATTATGACATTTTTCCTACCCTACATGATGCAATAATGCTTTTTCAAACAATTTAAAAACAATAATATTTAATGACATTTCTTGACCCATTTATGCAAATTATAAAATCAATATTTAAAAACACCGTTTTTACGGTGAAATCCAGTTTCCTGGCAACAGAAAGATTATAATATTATTCTTAAAGTTTTATTTTAGCATGAAACCTAATGTACATAAAAGACAATTGCATAAAACTTACTGAACCGATTTCTTTTCCAGTTGGCAACTTAGTACCAGTTGGCAAAACAGTTGCAACTCAACTTGTTAACTTTTGTACATTTGACATAAAAACTTGACTCATTTTTCTGATCTTCAATGTCACAATTCAAGTACAACTTGTCGGGGAAAGGTAACGGAACTCTGCTAATTTCTTTTTACAAAGCATCTGCATTTTTAGTGGCAATTGTTACGGGATCAAGCAGCGGAATTGGGGCTGAAATTGCAGTTCAGTTTGCGCAGGTAATGCAGCTTTGTAGTACTGTTACCACAGCTAATTTCAATCGACAACAGAATGGGGCAAGAGTAGTCATTACTGGGCGAGATGCTGCCAACTTGCAGGAGGTGGCTGACCGAATTAGAGAGGTCACTGAAGGTGCATTCACGCCTCTTCAAGTCGTTGGAGACCTAACTGAAGATGAATTTCCGAAAAAGCTCATTGACACGACAATTTCAACTTTCAAAAGACTGGACATTTTAGGTATAAAGTTTTATAACTACAAGTATTTTACACAGTAAAAACTTTTACAAGTTAACAATGCCGGTGGAGCAAGCAAGATTGGCAACTTCGACAGTCCGACGTTGCTGCAAGAGTTTGACAGCTGCTTCAAACTAAATGTTAGAACTGTTGTCACAATGACCCAATTGGCGGTTCCGTGGTTGGCCCAGACTAGAGGATGCATCATCAACATGTAATACGACTGCTTTTAATTTTTCTACTAGTCAAACTAATCATTTTTTTGCAGTTCCAGCATTGCCGGTATGACAACTTTTTTTATATAAAACAGATTCTATTTAAAAATTTCCTTTTTTGCAATTTGAGGAATGAAACCAGTAAGCTGTTGAAAAACTCCAATGCACTTTTTAAAAATTTTTTCTTATTTTTAGTCTACTGGACTTCTGGTGTATAGTGCTTCCAAGAGTGCTCTGGACATGATTACAAAATGCTCGCAAGTGTTGGCAAATTGCAAATGGCAAAAATTTACAAAATTAATCTTTATAGTGCACTAGAGCTTGGCAAGATGTACAAAATTCGCGTCAATTCTATCAAGTAAACAACAATCATCTGATTTGTGAATAACACTAATTTTTCTTTTACCAGTCCTGGCCCAATTGCAGCGAGCAACTTTGGTCGCAGCCTGAACATGTCTGAAGAGGAGTTTAAAGATTGGCAGCAAAAAACCTTTGTCGCCAACTCACTAATGAAAAGGATTGGTGAAGTTCAAGATGTTGCCAACTTGGCAAGTTTTTTGGCCAGCAATGATGCCAAAAACATGACCGGATCCTTGTGTGTCACCGACAGTGGTTTTATGGTTATGTAACGTTGTTTTAAAGCATATTTTTTCAGTTTTATGGTCATAGTATTCAATAATTTTACAACTATTTCTTTTCCTGCCAGTTTTACCTAGTTTTATGCAACATTATTTTTATTACTTTTTGTGAAAAACCAATCAACAAATATCAATAAACGCCTAAATTAGCTGGCAAATGTTGCAGCTGAATAAACACTGCTTAATCTTTAAATTTCCATTCATCCGCCAGCCCAATTTCCGTTGTCCTTGACTGTGAAAAACTGGTTTTCATTGTTTGCTTGCGCAGCACATTTTATTGACAGGATGGCAAATGCAGTTTTATCTTTCCTTTTGTATAAAAGCTCATTACGCAGTAAAAACAACTCGTCACTACTACAAATGTCTTCTTCAGTTCAGTTCAATTTTCAAAACAAAGTTGTTTTGGTGACTGGTTCAGGCGGATCAGGGACAGGGGCGGCCATTGCCATTAGTTTTGCTAAAAGTGGCGCTAAAGTAGCCATTACTGGGCGTAAAGCTGAGCCCCTTCAAAAAGTCGCTGATGAAATTGAAAAAGTTTCAGGTGCAAAACCGCTGCAGATTGTGGGCGACTTGGAAGATCGGGCATTCACCAAGAGTCTACTGGAACAAGTGATTGCCTTCTACAGCAAGTTGGACATTTTAGTAAGTCAGCTAACTAGCACTTGATTAATCATTTTTGGTAATCAATCGTTAACTATTAAGGTCAACAATGCCGCACAGTGGTCCAGAGAAGGCACACTGGAGAGCCCTCAGCTGCTGGACGTATTTGACAAGCTAATGAACATCAATGTGCGACCAGCAATTCAGTTGACTCAGTTGGCTGTGCCCTACCTCGAGGTGACGAAGGGATGCGTCATCAACATGAGCTCAACCGCCGCACATCGACCAGTAAGCAAAAGAAATGTCTAAGAGTGTGTTCAATATTACGATACTTTTCCCCTTCACTAGCGAAACCTCGGCTACTGCACCTCAAAAGCGGCCCTGTTGATGGCCACGCAGTGCATGGCACTGGAGTGCGCCCCTAAGGGTATTCGCGTTAATTCAGGTATAATTTGGGCAGTGTTTTTGTTTAATGTGCAAATGATAACAGTGCTCTCCACTTCTGCACAACAGTTGATTCGGGGCGAATTTTGCGTGGCTGGGGCCAGGAGCTGGGTGAACGAGAGCTGGCGTACAACAAGATGACGGTCGACCAGTTTTCCTCTGTTCATGCGCTGGGACGATGCGCCACGACGATTGAGATTGCAAACTTGGTGTTATTTTTGGCCAGTGACTTGGCCAGCAACATGACTGGATCAAATGTAATCAATGACGGCGGGAGAATGCTGAAGTAAAGTTGTACACCTTCTGCACTAGCTTTGCACTCTTGTTTAGCGGTGCAAACACTGGTATTGCCAGCCGACAGACAATCTAATCATTTTGACATTGAGCACGCACTTGTGCACACTTTACTTTATAAATACGTTGTTTTACTCAATACTCAATACCAATCAATCCACATGTCTTCTAGCAAAAAGTACGATTTTACCGGAAAGGTTGCCCTTGTGACAGGTATGTAGGTTGGCAGATGATTGACCGTAAATTCAAACAAAAGTTTATCAAGGTTCATCAAGTGGCATCGGCGCTGAAATTGCCAAGCAGTTTGCGCAGTATGGATCCAGTGTGGCTATAACCGGTCGCAATGCCGACAATTTGGCTTGTGTGGCCGAAGAAATTGCCAGTGTTTCCGGCGTCAAACCACTGCAAGTGGTCGGCGATTTGCTAGATGATGCCTTTCCGGAAAAGCTCATCACGACAGTCATTGAACATTTCAAAAAGTTGGACATTCTTGTCAACAATGCTGGAGGAACTGTTCCCAATGGAGGCCTGTCAAGTGAAAAACTGCTGGAAGAGTTTGACCAGACAATTAAGTTGAACTTGCGCGCACCGGTGGAGTTGATTCAACGAGCGGCGCCGTACTTGAAGAAAGAAAAAGGAAACATTATTCAAATTTCATCCGTCGCGTCTACTAAACCAGTAAATAATTTTTTGTTTGCTTGTTTGACTATTTTTAACTTGTGCATTTTAGTGGACTCTATCTTACAGTTCAGCCAAAGCTGGTCTTGATATGGCCACCCGTTGTGCGGCCTTGGAACTGGGAAGTTTTGGCGTACGCGTTAACTCTATCAACCCGGGTCCTGTAGAAACGAGCTTTCATCGGTATTTGACCAGTTTATATCAATTCTTTTCAATTTTACTAAATTTTGCATTTTTTAGATCAATGGGACTTGATAATGACGCCTTCAAAGGATTTGCAACCTTTTTCAAGGAGAACTCTCTTTTAAAATACATTGGACAGCCAGAAGATGTGGCCAACTTGGCCTTGTTTTTAGCCTCTGATTTGGCACGAAACATTACTGGCAGCATTTATTTTACCGACAGTGGATCACTGTTGTATACACCAGAGTTTAAAAAATGAACCGTATAATTTTTGTACTTTTTACATTTTTGTACAAGGCATAAAGACATTTATTGATATGTACAGCACGTACTGATAAGTCGTCCAAATAACTTTTGCCTGATAACTTTTTACAAAACATGTATTTCAAAACAAACTATGACTTTTTGTACAACCATTGCTGCGAGTTGATAATGATGAGCTTAACTTGGGCGAGGATAAAAGTTTCACACTTCGGAAAACTAAACAAATAATAAAAAATGACACACAACATTGACAAGCACAATTTTAGTGAATCTGTGGCCTTAATAACAGGTTCATCGAATGGCATCGGTGCTGCCATTGCAGTTGCACTCTGCTCCTACGGCTGCAAAGTGGTTATCACTGGTCGGTCTGCTGTGGCTCTAGAAAAGGTTGCCCAAGATGCGGCCAAAGCTTCTGGCGGAATTGCTTCTCTACAGATTGTTGGCGATTTGCTCGATGATACCTTTCCTTCACGACTCATCGCTGAAACGATTGCCAAGTTTGGAAAACTAGATTTTCTAGTAAACAATGCTGGCTCTATGATGGGAAGAACTACCTTGTCTGACACAAAATTTCTGCAAGAGTTTGATAAACTTGTCAACTTAAATGCACGTTGTGTTGTAAATTTGACCCAGCTTGCTGTACCCCATCTAAAGCAGTCTAAAGGAGCGGCCATTCTTAACATTGGAAGCATTGCAAGTCAACAGCCTTGGAGCGGAATTCTTCCTTACTGTGTCTCAAAAGCAATGTTGAATAGTATCACCAAAACTACTGCTTTAGAGCTGGGAAAGTATTCAATTCGAGTCAACATTATAAACCCGGGAGCAGTTGACACGGACATTTACAGATCTATGGAAATGTCACACCAAGACTGGACACAGTTTATGCAGCGAAAGGAGCAAACAAGTTTGCTGAAACTGGTCGCCCAACCTGATGACATTGCCCACTTGGCTTGCTTTCTCCTAAGCCAAGATGCAAAAAACGTGACCGGAAGTATCTTTACAAGCGACACTGGTGCTAGTTTAAAATAATTTAATCTGTTACCCAATAACTACAATTTTACTAAATTCAATTCACTCTAAACAATAAAACTCTAAACAGTTCATAGTTTGTTCAGTTCAAAACCATACCACTGTCAGTGATAATGATTGCACCGGTGATATTTTTTGCATCGTCACTGGCCAAAAATCCGGCCAATGTGGCAATTTCATCACTTGTTGCCACTCGTTTCAGCACAGTAGCTGTTCCCCAGCCTTTGATCAACTCCTCACCACCAGCTTCGTCAAGTCCAAAAGAGCGACCTAAAGATTTGAATAGTCGTAAGACAAATTAGCAACTGAAGCTTAAATTACCAAATGCAGTGGCAACAGGTCCTGGCTGGTGGTGAACAGTTGTTAAAAAATATTTAAAATTGAATAAGTTGTTCTTACATTAATGCTGTTCACTCGCACGCCCTTAGCACCAAGCTCGAGGGCACTCGTTTTGGTGATCATGTCTGAAACACACAAATCAGTTTAACGAGGTTAGGTAAACTGAAACAACTTGCCTAGAGCCGCTTTAGAAGCACTGTAAACCAGCCAAAACTAATTTTGAATAATATACGTTAAATACTCTCAAAAATTAAAACAACTCATTACCGCTTTTACGCCTGCAACACTAGAAATGTTGATAAAGTTTCCCTTTGAGGCTTCTAGATAAGGAACTGATCGCTGTGTCAGCTCAACAACCGTTCTAACATTCAGTCTCATGACTGAATCGAATTCTTCCATTAAATTTTCACTTGCCAGAGTGCCTTTAGGTGCAGCAATTCCAGCATTGTTAACCTGCAAAACAGCAAGACTTTACCAACATCAATACGTTTGAGTGGTCTTTACCAGAATGTCTAGACGACCATATTCACGAATTGTTTCACTTATTAGTTTTTCAGGCAGATTAGGGTCATTCTGCAAATCTCCTACAACTGTCAGTACTCGGTTTTCTCCAAAGTTTCGACGAATCTTTTGAGCTACTTTTTCCAGATTTTTTTCGTTGCGACCTAAAATAAAAATTTTGTTTAGTAACATCTACACACTACAATTAGCTTTTACTTGCCAGTAATGGCAACTTTGGCTCCATACTAAAATGAAAAAGTATCAATACAAGTTGTTTAAAGATGTCACTTACTTGAACAAATTGAAGTGCAATCTGAGCACCAATTCCACTAGATCCGCCGGTTATTAGTCTGACAAATAAAACAATTGTTGTACAAGACGATTACGAGTTTAGTTGTCAACTTACGCTATTTTGCCGCGTAAATCATATTTTCTA